CAGCTTTGTCTAGACATATGCACGGCCATCACCAGAGTGCAAGGGCTCAGCTGGGCTTAGGCACCATGAGAGCCTTCGTGCTACGTGACAGGCTGGAGACACCGACCTTGAACTATCTCAGTAAAATCAGTACAGGTGATTGCCCCACTCTTCAGCTTTGTGTGCACGGGATGCAAAGACAAAAGTGAATCATTCAGGTGAAGGTGTAGAGCTAAACAGATTTGATCATAAGAGGAAACAGGTAGATAGATGGAGCTGGTCATCTCTGGGTTGTCTTCACCATTGCTTTGTTCCAACCGGCTGCTCAGGGGATCACAGGAACGTCATGACTGTCCTGTTCTTGCCAATTTGCCAGGGCTCCACTGGGTAAAAGCGGATGACAATCCTTTTGGGTATAAAAGCATAAATGTGAACAGTGGACAGGAAACATTATTTTACAATTAAATATTACCCTTGCCCAGTTTGCAACATGGTAGAAAATCTGCACTAAGGTCTCATGTCTTACACTTCATGATATTAATTTAACAGAGGCAAACATAAGCTGTGTACGGGCAGGGTACAAGTAGGTGCCAGACTTCCCCCACACAAATAAAAGCCAACTGAATTTCAACACTGCCTATGAGATACTTGTCCATTCAGAAGGGCCCAAGCAAACCCGTGGCACGGGTTTACCCCAGCAGCATCCAAGAGGCTGGAAAATACTATTATCACTCTCCTTTGGGGAGAGGGGCACAGAGGGACATGGCTGACCTTCAGGAACAGCCCTGTTCCCACATTTGGCATGGTGATGCCACTGTGAAGCTCTACTAGCTCTTGTGGGGTTTTGCACCAATTTCACCAACTGAACTACTGATCTTCAAAGAACAGCTAGAGCCCAGACTGTTCAACAAGTGCAAACTAGTACACAGTTTTATCTGGCCCCAAACCACATATCTGGGGTTCAGCATCCAAGAGCAGTTAAGGTTTGCGATCTGGTCTTGGGTCTCTATTACACCTTAACGTCCTGAAGGACATGGGAACTGCTCCGTTCTCACTACCCTTTAACATCTCCCTGTACTTTGGTTTGCCGTGCTCCATATATCCACGGACCACACAGATCTGTGGAGCTGACAGAAGGGACGATCTCCCTCCCCCTGCCTCAGGGGTTATCCCGGTGTCCTTGCCCTCCCGCCCGGCCGGGCCGCTCTCACCGCTCGGTGCCGAGGCCCAGCTGCGCCGTCAGGAAGTCGAAGAAGCGGGCGCTGTGTCGCTGGTTCTGCTCCGCCGTGCCCACCACGCCGATGGTGGAGACGATCAGCTGCGCGCAGGGCTCGGCCGAGCCCGACACCACCATGGGCAGCCCGCTCCGCACCGTCACGTTCACCCGCTGCCGGCACAGCCACCGTTAGGCCCCGCCACTCCTGGCCCCGCCGCTCCCGGCCCCGCCGCTCCTGGCCCCGCCACCCCGGCCCCGCGCTCACCTCGGCCGGTTTACCCAGGATGTCGGCGGTGGCGGCGCACAGGGTCTGTGCCAGCCCCGAGGGCAGCCGCTCGGCCGGCAGGTTGGTCTCCAGCTCCACGAACGGCATCGCGCTGCTCCCACCGCGGCCCCAAAGTGCCCCCGCCCGGCCCGGCCCGGCCCGGTCCCTGCCCCGCCCCTGGGAACGGTGCCCCGGCGGGGGCGGGCTCAGCCCCGGGACCGCCGCAGCACCGCGGGGCACGACCCGCCCTGGCACTGCCCCTCGCCCTGTGCCAGCGCCAGGCAGGGCTCGGGGCTTTCTCTGCTCCACCGCAGCTGCACCAGCTGGCTGCCGGGCCTTTGGGGTTTACCATGTGCCGTGCTGGGATATGCATTAGGGGCTGTGACGCCTCACACATCTCGCTGGGTAAAATGAGTTTTGTGACAGTCCTTCTGTGACTTTTCAGGTCGCTGCAATAGGCACCTCTGCGCCTGTCTGTGCAGGGAAGGTTTAGAATGGAAGCGCAGTGATATCTCGGAACAACTACTAGAAATTAAAAGGCAAGCAGAGAGCTTTACTCCTTTATCCACTTCGTATTAATTACCAGGACTTTGAGCAATCAGGACTTTGAGCTCCCGAGTTGATAAAAGTGACCCCGGCAGGCTGGCTCACTGGGACAGCCTAATCTACAGATCAGAGGTGTCTTAACTAGAGGTCAGAGGTTTCTCAGAAGCTGAGCTACTGTCCAGTGAGGTTCCATGTGCTCATTTACAGCAAAGGGTTATGAACTAGCTTGACTGAAAGGTTGTCTTGTTTAAGGCACAGAACTGTTGTGAAAATTGGCCCCGTGTAACGTGACTTCTTGAGTTTCTACAGTCCTAGACCATGCTAATGAAAACTGATGGAACTGCTCATTTTCTTTTTGCTGAGGGAATTGCTTGGCCTTCACTGCTGCTAATGAAGACAATAGTGGCACAAGGAGCCATGTGTATAAACCAGCCAGGAATAAGTCTGGGAAAACATTTCTAGGAGAGAGATTGTGAAGCGAGAGACCCAAAGGGAGAGGGCAGGGGGTTCTGCAGGCTGGCAGGAGGTGGCTGCTTGCAGCAATAAGCAATAATACAAATGTTCCCTTTAAATCCAGGAAATCAGCAGAAGAAATAACCCCAAAAAAGTTAGATTACAGGGCAAATTTATAGAAATGTATAATCTTGTAAATAGATAGTCCTGAATTTGTCACCAAACAAAGGCAGTGGGGGTACTCAGCCACCTTGCAAATCCTGGGTGCAACCCCACCCTGCCTGTTTGCTGAGTCAGCGACTCCAGGGAAGATGCCTTTTAGGATCCATTTTTCTATTTTTCTCACGTTCCTTCAAATACCAAAAATCTCTTCCAATTTCATGGCTAAAAAACCTCCCCATGACAAGAAACCAGTATATCAGAAGGCCTCTAAAGGGAAAGAAGATTCACATATCAGATGTCACTAATTACAACTGGACAGGGGACTGTAACAAACATCTTTAAAGATACGCATTGTCCTTTGCTCTTGATGGTTCACCGTGTGAATGGCAGATTGTTCATGGCCTCACAGAGATTTCATTAAACTAAAGACATTTGTTTTATTGTTTCTGTCTCAGATTAGACAGTTAAAATGCTTGTAGGGGGACAAACAACCAAGGCAGGACATCACATAGTCTCAAACACCCTCAGCCTTTTGAAAATGATGAGATTTTTCTCTCCTGTAGACATTTGCAGTCTCATCATCCACTTCATGATTCCACTCTCAATATTATAAAAAAAATATCATCCACTTCCCATTTAAAATTTAAGTCAGTCGTGGGCAATATTATGTGAATAAAACATCAATAAAAACATATTATTCATCTCATGTTTGGGAAGAAGGGAAGGGTGGGAATAAACATGTGCCTATTTCCAGTAGGGAAATAGATCTCCCTCCAGAGGGGGTCTTCAGTCAGATCTCTTGACTTCATGGAGAACTTAATTACAAAACAAAATTTCCTGCTAATGCAAGCTGAAGTATATAAATGAGTTCCCTTTCCAGACAGGGAATTTAAAGATCTCTCTGGGCTCTAGATTAGACAGTATCTAGAACTGAAACCTTAATGAAAGACATCATGAAAACACATCAGGTTTTATAGAATTTGCCAGAAAAAGTGACACCAGCCAAGACATGGTACTACTGGGGGAAAAAAAACCAAAAACAAACAGAGAAGCAATTCCTGAATTAATTACTCATTTTGTCTTAGTCTTTACAGGAAGAGTTCTTGGGCAAGGATTTCAGGGTAAGGTTCAAGGGCAATAACTACTTATGAAGGGAAATACACAGCTGTATATTGCACCCATTTCTGCATCTTTTACAATTTGTTATTTTCAACTGAAGAAACTAGAAATAGTTGGATTCACTCAGTTTTACCTCATAAATTGTGCTGCAGTACAAAAGGATTTTGTTTTTGAGCTACAACTAACCAGAAACAAACAGCCAAGGAAAAGAGCCCAAAAGCTGCAAAACAACTCTCTGCCCTTTCATTGTGAGGCATATATTGCTCAATGCCACAAAGTCTCTCTTATTACTTCAGCTGTACAGGGTCACTTGGTGAACTTCCATCCAAAACAGAAGAGCATGCCTGCCTTTATTCCCCCTATCCATTTCCTAGGAGAAATGTGGATTGCTGTTACAGTATTACCGCAGAAAAAAAAATCATTTGTTTACTGTTATATATTCTTTCAAGAAATCACCGTGAATGCATTCTTTCAGAGCACTCCCTCTACCATATCAACATGGTATTTCAGGTAGGCAGCGATTCCAAGGCTGTGGCCACCACCAGCTTGTTGAAGTGACTTGGTCTTTCCTGCACAGATCTCCAAGAACAGCCCCTGCCACAGACTGAGCACCAAGGGAACCCAGGCTTGCAGAAATCAAAAGCAGTGGTTAAACTGAAGAATTATAAAGATTCACAGTTATAGACGAATACAAAGAAATTTGTCACAGGAACCTAAAGGCAGCTGGAACTGTGGAATGTACATGGACAGCCAAGCAAGATGCCTCAGAAATAAGAAACTCAAAAAAAAAAATCAAGTTTTTTTCACTTTTGTGAAGTAGTTTTGTGCTGTAATTATCTGTGCAGACATGTGCTGGAAGATGAGGATTAGGCACACTTTGCAGTGTAAATGTTAAAAACTCGTGAAAACAACAATCCTCATGCTATTCAGTTCTCTAATGTTCCCAGTTTATAGGCTGGCTCAGATTCTGTCAGGAAATACCGTTCTTGTCTCTACCATCGCTGAAAAGACTGACACCTAAATAAAATCCAGATGCACATTAAGCGACCTGTAGGGCCTCAGGCTCCAGTATAAATTTAATGTTTCAGTTCTTAAACCTTCCCCAGCTTCCACCCCTAAAGATACAAGAAAGGCCTGGCCGGGGGGGAAACACTCTGGAATTTCTGTGTTAGAATTACAGTGCTCTTTCCAGTTACATGTAGAACTGGAGGTCAGAGAAGAAGTTAAAAAAAAAAAAGGAAAAAAAAAAGGCAGGAAAAATTGTAAGATAGGTTAATTCATTTCAACATCTTCATCAACACAGGTGCCAGCTGCTCTTTCAGCTGTGGATCAATTTGAATGTTGCTCAGTTCTTTGATATTGAGGATCATCTCGTGGGCTTGGAAGAAAAGCTCTTTCCCCACAGCATCCTCCACCCGCCTGCGCCACTCCATCAGCCTGGGCCTGTCCTCAAAGATGTCACAACCAACTCCAACGGGCTGCAGAAAGGGGAGAGAGCAACAGTGAGGCTTTGGGCAGTCACTTCTTCACGGAGACAACAGGCACCAAAAGTGTACCCTGAGGTACTGATAAAGGAAAAAAAATGAAGAGTTCATAGAGGAGCAGCAGGAGGAGGGAAATCTCCTCTGGTGGGGTGTACCTATTTAGGGGACACAGAAGCTAAACTGTATTTTAAAAGGCATCCACTAGTCAAGTCCTGAGAGCTGGAAGAGCTGTTATGAGCAGCAGAGGTGACTGCCATGTACTGTGAGTGATTTTCAGCCACAGCATTGAAGACGTGGTGGGCTGGCAGTTCCAGGGACCACTGCACAGTTTGCAGGACAGCTCTGACAAAGAACAACAAATTTGTAACAGATTTAACTTGATTGCCTCTGTCTGAGACTAATTCTTGCATCTTCCAGACATGGCATGGGCAAGTACCATATTTTTGAATGATAAAAATATTCCTATATTGTTTTCTGATTTCATCAGACCTGTCTGCTATTACTTCTCACTTAAAGTTATCACCTCTTTCTCTGGAGGTTAAAAATAAAGTCATGATAAAGACTGAAGAAGAGGTATTGTTAGAGAAGAGAAGAGAAACAAAAGAGATCTGTTGCAGCCAGCTTTTTTTGTGTGTTCTAAACCCACTCCCATATTCTCCCCATTGTTTTAGGCCAGTTCTGTTGAGATATGCCCTCGCTCCTCTTTCTACTGAAGTGTTACCACATGCTGCACCCTCCCTGCCCAGCAGCATCTGTTTTCCCTTGTGCTGATGCTTCCTTACCAAACTCCACCACTCACTTGCATCAGTTCCACAATGGCCACAAGATCCGCCAGGGAGATCTCACTCCCGATGATAAAAGCCTTGTCCTGCAGAAACCTCTCCTCAAATTGTTTCAGGGAAGTGGACAGCCCATCCATAACCTCCTGGAGCTTCTCAGAGGGCAGTGGCTGCCCTGTGAAGAGGGGAATGAGCACCTGAGGAAAGAAGGGACTTCAAAGTACAGTTGGCCATCTTCTCATGGATCCAATCGCAGTAATGTCAATTAATCCCATGAACTACTCCTGATCATCAGTGATCCTGCAGCAAAGCCACAGCAGGGGATGATGCTAGAGCTTCATAGACTGCTTCAGCTCCAAGTAGCTCATGGACAGAGAGCACACGTGCAGGCCAAAGGGGCTGACCTGAACTCCAGCTGATCAGCAGAAATGTGCAGAACTAAATCAATCATCTCATTTTGTCCCTGGCAGCTGTGCCTCCACTCCACCCTGCTGGGTTACAAAAGAAAAGCGGGCAACAGCTGCAGGGGAAGACAAATCCCTGCCACATTCACCCCTGTTGCATCCTCTGTTTCACCAGGCAGCCAAGGCAGGTCAGCAGCTGCCTGCCCACCAGCCACCCCAGCCATGGAACTGGGTGCTGGAGGCAGCTGCCTGTCCCACAGGATGATGGAGAGGAGGGAATGGTGATGGCAGTGGCAGAAGTGTGGGGCAGGACTAGAATGCTGGAGGGACTGGCTGGAAAGGCAGAAATGGCTTGCTCTGTGTGACAGCAGCCAGTGAGGCTGGGAGTGGGGCAACACCATTTTTACACCAGCCTTTCTGGGGCCTCCCAAGCACCGCTTTTTAAACCACTGAAAATTTTTCTGGAGCAATCACATAACTGCAGTCCTTGTGTCTCCACAGACTTGCTGGCACAGAGGGTAGTTGCCTTTCCAAGACATTATTAGCTGCTCACGGGGGTATAGGCACCACTAGAGCCCACAGTGTTTCACGAGTAGGCTGCCTCCATCTTCCACAGCTAAAGAAATACAGTTTATTTATAGAATGAAAATTAAAGATACAAATTTCAATCAGTGTGAGGTGACTGAATTTCTGCTTACTGCAAGTATATTCAACAATTCAAGATGAGATTGCTTAATCCAAGCCATGATTTTGGCCAAATACATGTGGAATCTATTTCATCAGAAAATCCATGGCCAGTTCTCTTCCTCAGTGATTCCAGTTATGCATGACGGGATCTCTGGATAAAATCACTTTAAACAGCTTCTTCTTTTCTTTATCTCAGGGCAGTCTATCTTCTCCCATTTCTAGCTAATATGCTTCTGTTACATGGTGGCTTTATATGTTTCCCTATTTTCAGTTATTCTGAGGACCTTTTCTGCACGTGGGTTATTTAATCCTCTGCAGCAATTAGCTGGATTTCTTTCCTTAGACACTGAAGTAACAGCCTGCAGAGGCTGGAAGAAACTGCTTCTTTTATGAATCTGACTCATATTTGACTTGTTTCTCTGTACTCTATAGCCAAAAAAGAAATCAAATGCCAATAAATCAAGAAGCTAAATGAGTCCCGATATGCTTTGCTAGGGACAAACAAGGGCAAACTTTACAAGGGAGGAGTGAACTTCTTACCTGTTCACTAGCAATCATGATTTCATCTGAAATTCCATACTACAGCTGTACTTGCAGGGCTATATTTGCACCTGTGTCTCTCTGAGGATAGCTGCTTTAACTGTGAGTTGGCTGGAAATAGGTGTCCAGCAAAATTATCTGATACTAAATGACTTTCTGCCTCAGAGTAATTCTTTTAATTTTGCCTAAATGTAAATTGACCTGACTACACTGAATAAGGAAAATCTGCATTTCTGAGTCTCTCTGTCTCTGAGCCCAGTACCTAAGTGTACTGGAAGCAGAAAGCTCCTTCTGGATTTCTACCCTGATGGGGCTGTAGGGACTTGTATGAAGACAGCAGGTCTCTCTGCTTCCAGCAACAAAGTACATGCTCACCAAAGCCAGACTTCTGCCGATGTGCACGTTCTGCACAGCTGTGCAGTGAGGGGGAGGCCCCTGGAGGCAATACTCAATCAGTTATATATTCACTCACAAATCCAGGCAATGGAGCTCTGTTGGGTTTGAGACCTTCTGCACCAGATGTACTTTAAGGAAAAAAAAAAAAGTGGCAAAAGCTGCTTTTGCCAAATCCTGACGTTGATCAGTTCAGAACAGCACCCTCTCCGACAGCTCCTCTCAGCTGGGAATGGCCCAGGTCTGTTGTTTCGGCACAACAAACCCCCTCCAGATTGGGGCTCTTCAAATGCTCAGTATTCTCGCAGGCAAACATCACTTCACTCACACTTGAATAGTCAGTCTCCTTACCTTGATCCACATGGTCTTAGGAGCGTTAGCCCGGATGTTGGCATGATGCCAGGAGAGGTATTCATCTACCCGGGCCCGTTTTTGTATGTCTGATGGGTACCAGTGGTCGGGAGTGTTGTACTTTCGACTCAGGTACAGCAGAATGGCAGTGCTGCTCACGCATCAAAGGAGACAAGAAAGGGGTTAGCCAGTTGTGATGCAGAATGCTCTCGCCTAAGCTCCCTCCCCTGCTCCTTCTGAATTCTCTGCTTCCACTAGAAAGCATTCAGATCAGGATTTCCAGTGGAGTCTAGGGATCATATAAAGGCATCTAATTTGTGTTGACATCAAAGATGGCCCTTAATCACCTTAGTTCCCATGAGAACTTTAACCTGCTGGAAAATCACAGCACTGTTCTGTGGTGCTGCTGGACAGTATTGGGGTAAACAAACAATAAATCTCCATTATCATCTACAACAATGGTAACTCTACTTGCTCCTTGACTGTTCTAACTCATCTCTCCGAGACCTGCATGTTTACGTGCTTGTGTACAAAACTCTCTAATGGGTTATGCTGCCTTTTCACCAGGCCTGTCTCCAGCCTGCAGCTTCCACTGAAGTCTGTGGAAGGCCCAGCAAGGAAACCCTACAGAATCTTTTTGTGTTTGTCCAGATGTTTATACTTCCACTAACTGGCAGGAGAAGTCAGATGGAAAAATATCTTAGTCATATGCAACAATACTTAGGCTGTTACTACAAATAAAAATGCCAGAGAAAATGTGCTGACAAAATGGAAGAAAATGCAGACCCCTCTACTATGCTGGTACTACCATAGTTCAAATATTTCAGCATTTGACATCATTAACCAGTCTCCATATTAGTCTTTTAATGTAAAGCCTAAATTTTATCTCTGTAGGTGTTCACTCAGTCTTTATGACTAATTCAGATAAACAGAATTCTTTCCTAGAGTAAAAGGGTTTTTCTTTTCCTAGGGTGAAAGGAATTTTTATAAGCTTTAAACATTTCCCAGAAATGTTTATAATCCCATTTTGAGGTAAGTGCATTCAGGGTGAGATCAAGAAGCTAAGTCAGCTGAATTGTTTACATTCTGAAAGATACTTCAAACAGAAAATGGAAATGAGATCAAATGAGGTTATACTATTAAAAATAACCAACATGTTCATATATTCTGTGATCCTTAATCATTCCATGGGAATGACATCTTCTAAATGCAGCACAGATTTCTGGTACCCAAGGAAGTCTAAGGACTGAGTTCTTACCATTCTGCAAGGGTGAAGTCTCCGTCCTTCAGTGCTGGTACTTTCTTTAAGAGGTTGACTTTGCCAGTGCCTTCGCTATTTGATGGCCCTGAGAACACGAACAGACAAGGCTGGGGTTAGAAGTGTATCTGTCAGTGACTGATAAATGAGATACCTGCAGCCAACCGGACAATCAGTGACCTGTGTTAGGTTTTCCTGATATGGCCATATTTCAAAATTAAAAGGTAATGAAATGGAGGAGTCAGTGTAAGAGCTGTCTGTAGAGGGCAGTCAGCTCAGGCTGGGCCCACAGTGTGGAGCAGTTCACATTTCTGTACAGGATGACAGGGTTTCTATTGCTTGACTCAGGGACCAGGATTCTGGCAAAACTTACGGACAAAAATCACTCCCTGGGAGGCACTGAGAGCACACAATGAAGGTGCTGGTATTGAAAACACCATTGCACATAACAAGGAGCAGCTGACTTGTCTTGAGAACAGTGTGTCCTGCGGCTTTAGAGACAGAGGGAAAAAAGACAGAAGTTAGGATGAAGACAACCAGGGGCAAGGAAGCTCAGATGCCTCGACCTTTCATTACTCCTGACTCTGTGTTACTCCTGAATCTGCATGTCAGCCTACCTCTGATAGGAAAATGCAGGAGGAAGACACCATCCCATAAGAATTTAAACTTCACAGTCCCCTGGAGGCATTAACAGCTGACCATGAAGGCTTTCAGTTTCCTGCTGCTGGCACTGCACTTGCCAGTCAGCAGTTAAATGCCAGGGAATTGTACAACAGTCCAGGAACACCTGAGTAGAAAAGCTCTGAGGAATTTGTGTGCTTTGCTTGTTTTAAGTGCTCCTTAGGAGGAAGGGGAGGTGGGGGGGAAGGAAGGACTCTTAACTAACAGTGATCTCCATCCCCAAGATCTATTTGCCCTCATTCAGGAGGCAGTGACAGTGTCTGCTTTACTGGACAAATGTGCAGCAGGAAATAAGTCTCCAGGAAATAAACCCACCCTCTGGACTATCAAATTTGTTTGCATATGGTTTGGGAAGGGGCAGGAGAAGGCAAATAGCTGCATTACAATTACAGACTCCTATCCCTACATAGATTTCACAGAATGAGGCAAATCAAGCAGAGCAGACGTTACCACTCTGTTTTCCTTTCTAGCTGACTAGCCTCTACCTTTTTTCTTCTTTAAGAAGTACTTTCCTAAATTCCAGTGTAAGTAGCTTCATCAGAGACCAAGCTTCACATCCATCTGAAGGGATTCAAACCCATGTGTTCCATCTCAGTGGGAAAAGTCTCTGGCTACCTGCTGTGATAGTGGCCTCGAGCTTAGCTGGGTAAGAGGCTCCATGTGCAGAACCACGCAGCACTGTCAGGAGAGGTGGGAAGACAGAGCTTCTTAAGAATAAGAGCCAGACAGAAAGTGCAAGTTAAGCCTAATAATTGAGAAAATTGAATATAAAAATAAAAATGCCCCAAAATCAAGCCAGCAGGCCAAGTACAAGGTGCCTCACACACATGATTTGTATCACAGAAACAGCAAGGCAAATTTTTGTAATCTATTGTCATGCAAGGAGTTGCTTTAGAAAGATGCTCGGTCCTGTGCTTTTGGAAGGGCTCCAAAGGCCAGTGGTCATCACACACCCAGCTCTGGTGAGATCTGGTGAGTAGTCAGGGGGTCCTTGGAAAAAAGCAGCAGAAAGTTTCCATTCAGTAAAACTTCCAGCTAACGAGCAGTCCCATGTCAGACTCAGCTGTTGTCCTGCTGTCTGTGTTTATTATCCAAGGTAGCAGGAAACTAAGAAACAAGGACACGAGAAGTAAGCAGAGGATGAGGGCAGCCTGAACCAGATTTCAGTCAGCTTTCATCACACAGCAGTCCTAGCAGGAATACTGAGCATATTTGTTCCCTGATGGGACTAACATGTCATTACATCAGGCTGGACAGTAGGTCGGTGTCTGTAACACAGCCTGCACCTCAGCCCAGAGATGGCACTTCATGTGCTCTGGTTTGTACAAAGTCTTTGCACACAGAACAAAATTTAAGCTTCCGCCTCTCTTCAGCCAGCAGAGCCAGCCTTTTTGTTTACTGGTATTAGGTGGCCTATCTTTATCACTCCTGTGATGTTGACTTGACTTATGGTTCTGTTTAACATCAGCTGTGTCTGGTGTAATTAGATCTTGATGTCACTCAAGAATATATAGATATATACACTGTGTGTATTGTTGGGCTTTGAGGAGTAACTTTAACAAGGAAAGCATACACTGTAAAAAAAGCAAGGCAGGCTGCACACACAAGAAATTCTTAAGTGCAAGTCATAACAGAAGGAAGGAGACTTACTGCTGAATAAAAAGAGCAGTGGACAAGATTTTACAGAAATAGAAAGGGAAAAACTCCAGTCTATTTGCCAATCGTGTCGCTGCCTAATCATGTCCTCAGCTAAGGACTTCCAAGTATATGCTTTGCCTTAGGCACAAAAGCAACAATTTACTAGGAAAATGCAACATGTAACTGGGCAATAGTTATACAGCTGGGGGGAGCCCGAACAGCTGAGTGTTTCTGCAAAGTACAGCGTTCCCAGAGCACTCCTCGGCTGTCACTGTGACTAATTTGCTAGAGATGGCTGGAAGAACTTTCCTCGGTGATCCACAAAAATAGATGCAGCGGAGCTACGAGACCGCTCCGGGAACAGGAGTCGCACGGTCAAACCACTGCGTTCAATGCCCCTGGGCAGCGCACAGATTCAGCATCACTCGGTGACCTCGGGAGCACGTCCTTCCCTCCCACCAGGACGAAGGACGTGCTGTTGCTCTTCTGCCGGGAGGTGGAGGGGCTCCCCCGGGGGCCAGGAGGGCAAACCCTCCGCAGGTCCGGGCCCGCAGCGGCGGGCTCAACCCGGCCCCCGCCGGGGGATCGCGTTCCAGCGCCCCTGAGCGCGGCCCGTCCGGCCCCTCCCCGCCCGGGGACAGGCTCGGTGCCCGCCGCGGGGACCCTCCCGTCCCCTGCCCTGCTCTCACCTGCGCGGGGCTGCTCCGTGCCGCTCCCCGCCGCCGGCCTCTTCCCCAGCACCGAGTCTGCCAAGAGCCAAGAGAGGGGCTGAGCCCGCAGCCCCGCCGGGCTGCGCCCGCCCCGGCCCCGCTCCGTCCCGGGGCACCCGTCCCACCTTTGAATAGCTCCACGTGCTTGAACTCGAAGGGGATGTTGTTGCTCCGGGCGAAGATGTAGATGGAGCGGCAGGGCTGCGAGAGCAGGTCCAGGTACAGCTCCAGCCCCATCCCGACCCGGCCCGTCTTGCGCGGAGCTGCCGCGGCTCTGCCGCCCGCCGTCCGGAGCCGCCCCGCATGGGCCGGCGGGGGCCGAGCCGCGCCGGGCGGGAGGTGCCCTCAGTCCCTCCCCTTCTCCTTTTCCCGGGCCGTGCCGGGCAGGGGGCGGTGGCTGTGCGGGGCACGGAGCCGGGGGGAGTGGAGTGTGAGGCGTGGGGGGACCGCGGGGTGCCAGCCTCCTGCGGGGCGCGGTCTGGAGAATGCCAGAGAAGCCCAGGAGAGCCCCCCCGGCTGGGGCAGGGGTGGGGAAGCACGGCTGGAGTTTGGACAGAGGGCACAAGAGTTCCCTATCCCACCGTCAAGAGACCCTGGCCCGTTGGGGCTGGCACCGTGCCTATTCATTTTCCTTCAGAAAAGGAAGGTAACACGGGAGATAAACTGCGAGTAAGGGTCAATTGCCAGCCTCAAGTGAGAGGCTGGCACTAAGCACTGAGAGAACAGGGGTTGTTATTTCCCTCTGCAGCCTTGGCTGGCACCACAGTGGCTCGGGAGCTGCTCTCACCCTCAACATCCCACCATGGCTCTTAAAAGGTAAATGCTTGTTCTGGTAACACAGCTCTGCAGGGATGTGCCACTCTGCAGACAAGGCCTTTGCACAACGTCTGCTAAGCCAGCATTAATCTCACACTGCCACATCTCAGGATGGTTTTCAGTTCAGAACATAATTCTTTGGTCATGTAGTCTCTGCCCAGTCCTGCAAGGTGACACCTGAATGGCAGTGAACTGTGGAGGACTTATCTGCAGGCATTACATCTGCATACTTACTCAGAGTGACTTTCTGCTCTCCCTGGTACTTGTCACTTCAGATTTCCACACAAGTGGAGGAGAACTAAAGAAGCTTAGACTCAATTCAAGCCCTTGTACTGGGCCTGCAGCATTTCACAGCTATGTGATTCAGGGAAGGTGACGTGCTGGCTGAGTAATGGGGCTTCTGGGACTCTGGGAGATAGAGCAGCTGAACCACTTAGAGCAAAGTCACCTCCAGTCAAACCCAGCTCGGCTCAGCTGACACCTTTTTATCAGTGTTGTGCCAGAGAGCCTGTGTGTTGCACAAATTTTTGGAAGGAGCCATGTGAACTTCAGGGAGAGGGAACTGGAGGATCAGTTGCTTTTATTCTTTTTTTCACAAAGGGTGATGAGAAGGCTCAGCTAGTGAGCTGGGAGGTCTGGGTAAATTACAAACTGGAACACTTCCAGGATTTTAGAACTTTCAGATTTAGAACCACACTGTAAGAGTTTTTCAGTTTCTCAGCCAGAACGGGGAAAGGGGCTGTGCACACCCTCCAGTTCCTCTGCAAGCACAGTTTACCCTCTAGAGCACCTGCACCCAGCACCAATATGCTGGAGATCAAGGCTTGTAGAGTGTTGTGGTAGGTGCTTGAGTTCGAACTGCTTCAGTACAAAGGAATCTTAAATGTTAAGGGAGTGGGGAAAAGGAGCGTGAAAGTGGCTCTGCACAGGTAATAGTCTGAGGAGTCTTTGTGTTTCAGAGTGGTTGCATGTCCCTGCTCTGAGATATCCCTGAGAAGAGTTTGTTGATCTCAGTGGTGTGCAGCAACCTTAGCAGCGTGGGTTCGCTTTGCTCCTTTATTTATGGTTCAGTTGATCTATTAGTCCTATCTGGACTTCAAAGATCTTTTCATGTGCCTCCTGGAAATATTCCTTCCTTAAGTTTTTCTCCACTTTGCTGACTGCACTGCACAGCCCACACAACCCAAGAGGTATTTTTATCTGGTTGTTATAGGCCATTTGACTGATTATTCCTGGTTCCAGGCTTAAGCTTCTAGCACTGCATTTTCCTTCACCTCAAAGGCCATTTTTTGTGCCTCTCTGTCAGCTTTATGAGAACAGGAACAAGACAGAAACAATGCATTAAGTTCCGCAATTTATTTCTTAATAATTTAGGAAAGGTCTCAGGATGTGTATCTGCTTTTTAACTATTCCTCCCATTTTGTGTATCCCAGCTTCATTTTATTCTAAAAGTCACAGGCTTTCACCTATTTCCAAATAGCCCCTGGCAGGAATGGAGAAAACTGAATCCAACAGCATGTTAAACTAACACTGGAGGTGTGACCCTCTCCCTTTTCAGGGTGAAAGGCGAGTGGACTCTCAACAACAGACATTGGCAGGCAAAACTCTTGCACAACCTGTTGGGTTTTGGCAGGCAGCTTTCAGGGCTTTCAGTCTAGGAACTGGAACCTGACAAGATCAAATGACACAAAATGTGGAGGTGTAGGGATAGCAAAAGGCAAAGTACAAGGATGAGCTGCCTTATCTCCACAATTTAGAGCAAAAATCAAGGAATCTGTTGTACAACTCTGTGACCATCCAAGGAGTGCTTTAGGGAGGTGCTTTCACTTATGTGCATAGAAGGGCCCAAAATGCCACTGGTCACTGCACCATGAACATACAACAGACCAGAGACCACGGGAAAAACAATTTAAAATCTCTTCCTGTCACCCTGACCAGGCTGGAGTGAGGCGAGTGTGCTTACCCTTTGTGACACAGCAGTGGAGGAGCACCAGAGGGCCAGCTAAGAACATAGTTCCAGCTTGGTTTTGAAGGCAGCTGTCCTTGCAGGAGCACACAATGGGTGACATTTAAGGAACTTGTGCCTTATTCCGACAAGCACAAAATTGGCTCGAGACTCTTACATGGAGCTCTTGTGCTACAAGTATCGTAAATTAGAAAATGAAAAAAATGACAGTGTATTTACCTTGGCTCATGCAGTGGTTTGCGTGCAGAGCAGCCCTTTCTGGAGATTCTGCAGGGAGATGTGTGTCAGGAAAAGCTCTGCTCCCAAGCCCAGTCTGAGGTTTGTCAGGGTTAGCACTCTGCAGAATAGACTCTTGGTTTTGATTACTCTTCTGCTTTGGTTCTACTTGAGCAGAAGCTGTGGGAGACATTTATTGTGCTGGTAGGAAGTTTGCTCTCTACAAGAAAGGGAAAAGCTGGAAGTCAGGAATCTTGAAGTTAGGGTGAGTACAAAGGTGCCAACAGCAGAGCGCAGCAAGGCTGGGCAGCCTTGGTGAGGCAGCAAAGGCATCTCTTTAACTGCAGGGTGCACAGCAGCGTAGCTGGTGACTGTGGTAAACCCTCTGCAGGTTACAGAGGGAAGGAAGCGGTTGGTGGTACAACGTAAACAGGCTGTTCTCTTGAGGCTCAGCACTGCTGGCAATTTGAGCACTGGGGCAGCATCGTCAGGGGTTGCTGCTCAGGCACCCCTGGGGCCAGAAGAGAGCTGCTGTCATTGACTTCACTCACTGGCACGCAACAGGCTCTTCTGAACAAATTTACCCATAAAAAATCAGATCAGAAGACAAATATCCCTGCATGTGTCAGCACTAAAACTGCAAAAGTTTGGGGAAAAGCTGCCTTTTCACCACTCACATTTAGGATTTCCCGTAGGCCAGAGGAACGGAAGGTTAAGGGCCCAGCCTGCTTGGCTGCTACAGCTCAGCCTACAGGCATGTGTGTTGCAAACTGTAGTTCACGTGCCCTTTTGAACTAAAGGGCAGGTTTACTCAGGAGGCAAACACAGAAGAGGGAGCTGGCTCATTCCCCAAAAACAGCAGGTCCAACCGAAAACATGCGTGAGACTGTTCGAGCAGCTACTCGGACCTTTTCTGAGCACTGTCATGGCTTGCACTCAGATGGCTGACATCTCACCCCCGGCATTCTGCATGGCCACCTCTGTGGATGGTGTAACCAACCAGCACAGACAGACTCCCAGATACAACCAGAGCTTAACAAGGAGGCGGGGAAAAAACAATTCTGCAAACTGGAACCCTCCTTGCGGAAGCCCGTACCTGGAAATGGGAGGTCACAGGACAGGAGGACAGGAAGGCAGGAGGGGCACAAAGGGACACAGGCAAGAGGTTGTAAAGGGTGCTGCACAGGTGTGCAGGATGACTCCATGTCCGCTTCCTTCCAAATCCTGTTTACAAATCCAAACAGAGCTACCACACCTGGTAAATGTAACCATTAACCTTACTGGAGGATCTGAAGAGACAAAAGAGTAGTGGAATATTAACTGTATTTGGAGCATTACTCAGCTCTTGTACTGAGTGTTCTGCTCACCCAGGGCTGGCCAGCACAGCTCCTGCTGCCCTCAGTGCTGGCCCGGCCACCGCAGCCCCCGTCAGTGCACACAGCCTGGCCCAAGTGGCTTCTCTCGAGCTGACAAAGCCACTGTGGGAAAATAGAGCGAGCACTTGTGTGGTTTACAGTGGGGACCGTGTGGTTGGCAGCAGCTTGACCAAGAAAAGCAGCTTTTCACCACTGTGCAGGGTATTCTTTGTAGAGTGTGATATGAGTCTATGGTCATGGAATTTTATTGACAGGACTAACCCCATCCTTCCCAGAAGCTGGAAGCCTCCCTTGGGTACCCACACATCTTCTTGCTGCTGGGCACTGTGTCCCTTTGCTCCTGCAGATGATGCAGCAGCATCTAGTGGCCAGGTGTTCTAAGAGCCCTGGCAGTGTCCCCAGCAGGGGCTGAGTCCTGTTCTGCCTCTTTCCTAAAGAGCAAAAATCTTCCAGCAGAGCGTTTTCACTTTGCAGAGTGAAAACCATCTGCTACAATTACTTTTCCTTGTTTCAGATACACCTGTTCCACCATACCCTCAGGAAACCTTTGCTCTTGCCTGGAAAACTTTGAACAGAGACGGAGAAGGCAGCTCTGACTGGCCCTTGTTTCCACACAGGCTGAATCACTCAGTCCTCAAGCAGATCCAGTGGTGCTGGAGCATGAAAGAAAAGCCTTCAGGGCTACAGCTCCCATGCTGCAGTGCACAAGAGGAGAAAGCAGCTCACAGCAGTTTAAAATATATTTTTCTTCCTTTCTAAGTTGCAGAAAGGCTGTGAGTAAAGGAAAGTGGATTTTGTGGAATGGTGTTTCTGTATTTTTTTTAGAAGAAATGCTGAAAGACTGCAATAAGCCTTCATAAAATAATCTATTTTATTAGAGCATAACCCTCTAATTCTGGCTGACCTGCTTCAGGAGCTGTTGCTTGAAACCCTCCAGCATTTCAGGTGCAAACTGATCAGCAGTCAAGTTCTTAATGTTCATGATCCCTTCGTGGGCTTCCTGGAAGAGCTCCTTCCCCACAGCCTCTTCCACCCGCCTGCGCCACTCCGCCAGCTTGGGCCTCTCCTCAAAGAGGTTGTAGCCAGCACCTACAGGCTGCAGGGAGAGAGAGAGCACCTGGGAGTGAGCCAAACAAGGCATTTGCCAGGGATGGGACCAAAGGAAGGACCGCTAGGCTTTTGGCTCAAGGCAGCAGTCAGTCATCACATTGGGTGGAGCTCATCTCTGGTTCTTAGCTCATAGGAAGCAAGGGGTGACATCCTCAGCAGCTGCTGTCCCCTGGGACATGCAGCAAACAGCTCTGCCATGGCTAACCCCAGAACTGTCTAACACAGAACACGGAGGTTCATGCACACCAACACATCTTTACTTTCTCTGCCTATTTTATAATTTATCTTTTTTTTTCCTGAGGAATTTTGACCATTTTTCTATAGAAAGAACTGTCTCCTCCTCATCATCATCAGAGTAGGTGTTCCCTGGCAAACTTAATTAGGGTCAGAGTCAAAAAGGAACAAGACTTAACCCCATGGAAGGGTTAACTGCAGGGAGCTCTGCCATTACAGGTGCAGCAGCCACGCCTTGGTGTGGGGTGCCCACAGCCCAACCCACGTATCCAGCAGTGCTGGGATCGATGCTCACCTGCATGAGCTCCACCAGTGCTACGAGGTCCGCCAGGGAGATCTCGCTGCCTGCGATGAAGGGCTTGTCCTGCAAGAACTTCTCTTCAAACTGCTTTAGGACAACACTGAGGTCCTCAATAAGGAATTCCAATTTCTCTGCAGAAAGTGGCTGGCCTGTGAGGACAGGCAGCAGCACCTGGCAGGGAGAAGAAACAAGTTGCTCTTTAGGTGATTCCTTCCAAACCTAGTCATCACCCTCTCTTTGCCACCCTCTGAGGATCCCTCACCAGCCATGCAAGAGAACAACTTGAACTGCTGATCTCTCTTGCCAGGTCAACATTAATGTTAGTCACCACTTCCTGCCTCTCCTTGTCTCCTCCCTAGAAATCTGAAATTTCAACCACAAGAATCTCTTCTCAAGGGAAGACTGCATCATCTGCCAGCAGCTGCATTTTGTTTTCCAGCAGGAGGCTGGTTCTTTCCATGAAGCTGAGCAGCAGGCGCTGAGCTGTGTCTGGTGAGAGCTGCTCACCCAGGATGAGTTTGCTCTGGGTCTCACAGAGCAGTAGCTGCACCATGAAAGATTCAGGCCACTTCAGTTAGGCTCAGCTGAGCAGCCAAGTTCAATTCCAGATCTAGTTTTTTCCTGATCTGTCATCTGACTTGTACATTTGCTCGGGAAGGCCCTGCACACAGCTGGGCTGTTGCACTCACAGCTCTTAGCATTTAATTTTTGGTGTATAATGGTCTCACCTTCATTAAGAACAGCTTGCTCCCCTTCGCACGGATGTTGGCATGCTGCCACGACAGGTACTCATCAACCCTCGCCCTCTTCTGCAGGTCAGATGGGTACCAGTGATCAGGAGTCTTGAATTTCTGGGTGAGGTACAGGAGGATTGCAATGCTGCCCAAAGAGCGAGACAGACCTGTGAGTTGATCATCTGAGATTAAAGCACCTCATCCTTTCTTCCCCTGAAAATTTTGCACTGCTGGACAAGCAACACCACAAACCTGATCCGAGTCAGGTAGAAGTGCAGGACGTGTAACTGCCAGCAAGGCGCAGCAGAGGGAGAGAGTTTGTGCTGGCTCAACCAGCACAATTGCTTGTGGGCAGCAATTATCTGATACATCCCCCCAGCGAGACAGATGTGGCTTGCTGGCAAAGTTACCCCATCAACACATTTGTTGAGCAAATAGGAGCTGCAGAATGAGTTTGTACCAAATCTGACCTTCACAGTGCCTGGCCATTCAGCAGCAGGTGCCCTGTGTCAGATTTCCTGTGCTGACCTACAGCCTCCAGCTGCAGGCAGAGAGCAGGAGGTCACGTGGACAGGTATTTAAGCTCAGAAACACTGCCTACATGCAAGGTAGCTCTGAGCAGCAGCCCACAGATTTTTGCACTATCAATGCTGTTTGAGTTGCTTACATAACGGAGATTCTCTTGAAACGTAGGTTTGTTGTGTACAAGTGGAACCGACAGGAAGGAAGAAAAAAACCTGCCTGGCCTGGAGTCCCAGCAGTGCACTGGCAGAATCCAAGCTCTGGGATAAACAATACTGCAGGTAGGGAGTTGAGCTTCTTTGAGCCTCACCTCTCTGCTAAAGTGAAAGAACCATCCTTTAGTGCAGGCACCTTCATCAGGACATTCACTTTCCGGAACTCCTCCGTCTTGTGCTGCCCTGAGGAGGGAAATGAGAAGTTTTACTTGGCAGGAATAGTCAGGACTTATCTTCAACACTCGTGGGGACCATTTGGCCTCAAGTTCCTGGTTTTGATTGTACAAATATAGTCTTATATCAAGCTTATAAGCAATCAATAAGTGCTGCAGGGTCAATAGGGGGGTTGCCCTATGGTATCACCTTACTTGCTTATTGTCTGCATACCAGACCCACCTCTCGACCACGGGCAGAATGGCTAGGAGTCCTTTCATACCAACAGTGCTTGTCTACTCAGGGCTCTATCAGCTCCAAGTTTGTGCCTGGAGGTACCTGTCCTGTACAAACCCAGAGTGAGCACTGAGTGCCTTAGAGAAAAGGGATCTCACTATCAGAAACATGACCAACATGGACAGTGAGAAAGCAGATTTTTTTTTTTTCCTGGATGATAATGTAATTTATACTCAACTCTCTTTTTAGCCCTTGGATGAAAATAAATTTCTATGATTCCATATAAAGATGGTACTTCATTACAGATCTGTCAGTCAGCTCCTGTGCATTCAGTCATATCTTTTGTCAGAGGAAATATGGATTTGTTGCTTTTAAGCTATCTTGTAGGTTCCCCCTGAAAGGAAGGAGCGTGAACCTGAAGGGAAAAGGTGCTTTGTTCATTTGAGGTCTCAGTGTGCTCCACTGTGTCTGAACCCAGTCTCAGATGCCTTGTTTTATGTGGCTGGTTTGTGCCAGCCTTTTCCAGCCACTGGCTTCAGTCACATGTGTGTACCTGTGTATTCAAGCCTCTCTAATGTGTAACTAACCTTATGCCATGTCCTGCTGTGTGAGTCACCTGAGAATCTCTGTGCCAGAGGAGATGCTCTGGAAGTGATTTTAGCTTTCCCAGTACCTGGCAAACCTGATTTGTGATTATTCCCCTGTCACTTGGCTCGAAGCCCATCTCCTCCACCCCCTTTTAAAAAGATGAAGTGTGCAGATTCCAGGTCCTCTCAGGTGTCCTTTGAATGTCACATGATTTCTATCCATTCTCACTCTTTCTACCCCTTTCCTTGAGACCTGCCCTACTGGGGGCCCAAGAGCTTTTCTGAAGGGACACGTTCAGTGCACCAGCTCAGTTTTGAGTATCAGTTCCCTCACCTGGTCCTCACATGCTGTGCACTGATGGGCACTAGTGCAGCGAGGCCTCCCACACTGTCCCAGAGTGGCTAATCCAGCTGCAGGTACCTGGAGCACTTCCCACTCTAGGAATGGGATGAGATGCACCTTTAGGATGCACCATAGCCCAAATCACCTGTCTTAAATCCACTGGCCAAAAGCAGGCACTGATGCCATGGGGCACAGAGCTCTGGGAAATTGTGACTTTAATTCACTTTCCTTCCTCTCAGTTCCCCAATACCTGTATTTCAGATGTTCCATTCTCGCTCATGCTCTCATTGCTCACCTGCCATCTCCTTTGCACCAGTCTCACCACAGCAGCTTATGTATTGGGAAAGAAGGGGAAGGACAGGAGATGAGCCTGCCCCCAGTTACAAACAATTGCAAAAATTCTTACTATGAAACAGGTGGGAGGAAAGCCACAGCAAGGTACAACCAATGCACAGCTAAGATGTGCAGGGGAACACCCAGAGACTAAACCACATCACCCCTGAGTCACAACTTGGAGCCTCTTTTGTTCCTTTACCAATTTCAGCCCCAGAAGCCTTCTCATCTTTCACTGTTTTTAAGCGTTACTTTCTGAGGCATTGTTATGCCCAACACATTACCTTAATTTCAAATCCAGCAGAGCTCTGGAAAGGTTGAAAGACAGCTTTTACCAGCTTCAGTTACAAAGAAATAAGATGCAAATCTTTGGGGATCATTTGGTGAAAACACACAATACCCCTTGGACAGGCTCCTATCAGTTATCAGTTGGTTTCAGCCCAAATAAACCACCTTCCTTTCTTCATTTATCAGTGTTCAGATCACTGGCAGCTGCATTGTCTCGCTCCACAGCCTTCACAAGTCTGCCCTCAACCCTCTCAAAATGGCTACAAACTGCTTGACCCAGAGGAACCCCCAGAGGAGCAGCCAACTGCCCTGCCCTGCCTGCACATGGGGACACACCGGCAGTGAGGACCCTCACACGTGAGGACCCTCCCACAGGGCTGTTAACCCCTGCCAAGAGGAGAAGACCCGCTCTGCAGTAACTGCTGCTGCTTACCGGAGCACAAAGTGTTTTAAAGAAGTTTAATTGGGGAACAAGAGCTGCACAGCTCGGCTGTCCTCGCCCATACGTGAATGTCCCACCTCTGTGAATTTTTGTTTTCCATTAACCGGGGAAGGCCCTCAGACCTGGCACATCCTGAGCGCTTCTCAGAAAAGCCTCTTTTATCAGAGACCCACTTTCTGCTGGGGTGGAGCCGATTTCAAAGATACTGCACGCCTTTGCAGAGTCCTGTGTGTTGCAGAGGAGCAGAGGTACTGAGCTGACTACTTAAAAAACAGGGGTGCACTGGAGAATTAGGTCCCGGTTTTGTGTAGGCACCGGGAACCCTCTGCAGCGGGAGGGCCACCTCGCCTTCTCGCAGCATCTCGCACTTAGAGGGACGGTGAGTAACCCGCTTCCACCCGCTGGCTGGAATCCAGCAGCTCCCCCGGGTGGAGCAGCTGGGCACCCGTTAACCCTGGGGCCGGAGACACCGGGAGGACAGGGGACCCCCTCGCCGCCCCCCTCCAGCCCCGCTCACCCTTCATCAGCTGCACCCGCTTGAACTCGAAGGGGATGTTGTTGCTCCGGGCGAAGATGTAGAGCGCCCGGCAGGGCTGCGAGAGCAGATCCAGGTACAGCTCCAGCCCCATCCTGCCGCCGCCGCTGATGCCGCCGCCGCCGCCTCCTCCCGTGTTGTAGCGAGCGGTGCCGTCCCGTCCCGCCCGGTGCCGGCAGCGCCGGGCCCTCCCCGGGGCGGAGCGCAGCTCCCGCTCCGGCCGCTCGGGGCAGGGCCGTGCCCGAGCGCTCACAGGACAGCGCTGATTGCACTTTTTGGAGCAAAGTTTCAACCGGGCTCTGCCACCTCACATCTGATCTCTGGCTTGTCCTAATAACTGCCCTTAATCCTTTAATGATAAGGAAACTGCAAGGCTGAGGGGGTGTGGGTGCTCAAGACGCAGATCCCGGTTTTACCCCACAGGGGCTCTTGCAGTTCTTGCACAAGAGGACTTTCCATTCCTGCCATTCCATCACCAGCCCAGACACTCGTGCTATGGAAAAACAACTGGAGAGCAAGCAGTCACACAACAGGAAAACATACACTGATTCACTGCTATCAAACAACCCCACGTTGGTCCTATCTTCACAAGATTCGACCACTCTTCCCAACACCCATCCCTTCAAGATTCCCAGCCCTTCATTTTGCTTCAAGAATGTATTGGTAATGCTGGTGTACATACATTTTGCCTTACAAAACAATAAGCTGGAGCCTTTCCTCCTGAAGGAAGAGCAACCCACGGAGGGTAGTTGCAGGTGGCAGCTATGTGGCAGCTCTAAGCCCTCTGCCGGGACAGCTAAAAATATCAGTGGCATGTGTCAAATTACAGACTTATGGCTTGCAGTGACACTAGCTGGCTCCAGGACATTAATGTTAGACATCAGACATTTCAGTCTGCATTAACATCAGCCTAACACTTAATAATACCTGCTGTTACCACTGGTACAGAACATTGGAATAAAACAACACAGGCAAGAAAAGGATAAGGCACAAGACTGTAACAGTGAAAAATCGCTTCAAAAATATCTTCATCCCTAATCATAAAATATCCCGGGTTGGAAGGGACCCACAGGGATCATCAAGTCCAACTCCTGAGCCCTGGAATTTTTTATTAGACACTGTTTGAAAAAAATATATAGTATTTATTTAAAAGTTACGGTCACCTCAGCCTAGAGCAGCTCTTGAAACACACTTCTGCTACAGGCATTGTACAGGTGTTTATGCATTTGCAGACACAGCTGCTTGTGCAATAAGACAGACCCATTAGTTGTTCCAATGCAGAATGGCCCAGCCCTCATGGTTGGAGGACAGCAGTTCCATCAGGCCCATGCTCAACAGCTGGTGGTAGTTCTACATATGCCAGCAGGATATGATGCAAAGTCCTCTTCCAGACACCTGTATCTCAAAATTTATCTTTTTTTTTTTTCAACCAGTAACTGAACTCTGCTTGCAGTGTCCTTGAAAGAGTAACATGGCCTGTAACAGCTTCAGCTCTGATAAGGTTGAGGAGCCAACCACTGAGGCCCATTCAGGGACCACGACTCCGCGTTGCTGTGCTGGGGACCAGTCCATGTCCTGTCCCACGCAGGGGCTTCAGTTCCATGAAACACGACCAGCTCAGCTTCCATCCGTTCAGGCTCGTTTCTGTGCTCGCTCGTTCTGTTCAAAATTAAAGTTGGGAAGGTGACTGAAGATGTCCCTGGCTCAGGGTCACACAGAAGGGACTTCAGGGAGCAACAGGACAATTTAATAATCTATTCTGCCCCAGCTCTCACACATTCCTAGTCTAGAACTCTAAATCTCAACCTTTCCACCGGTGTATAAAGAAGAGCCTGCAGATAACGCTTTCCTGGTTTGGGATACCCAACTCTAGTAAGCACAGCTGTACATTACAGTCCTAAACTCTGTAATGACAAAAGGTAGAATCTCTGCTTTTTATTTAGAGTACACTGGGTAGCTACCAAAATCCCAGCTCCAGAGGTAAAGAGAAAGGCAGAGTAGAAAAAAACCCACCACAAATCATAGAATTGTTTTGGTTGGAAAAGACCCTAAAGACAATTGAGTCCAACCATTAACCCAGCACTGCCAAACCCACCACTAAACCACGTCCCTAAGACTCCATGTCTTTTTAATCCCTCCAGGGATGCTGCCCACCTTTAACAGAAAACTTCTTCCTCCCCTCCCCACCCTTTCTGAGCATTCCATAATGATGCACGCACAAATGCTGCCTTCACACTGAGATGGAATTCTTTTAGTTAAAGGAAAGGATCCTAGACACTAATACTTATGCTAAACATGAATTGCAGTAAACTGCACAAGTTGTAGTTTGGTTTATTTTATTGCCCGCCTCAATTACCTTGACTGTCTTCTCAAGTTTACACAGAGCTCCCTCATATTGCTGCACCAAAGGCTTTAACGATCTGCCCTTCACGGGGTGTTTCGTTATGTCTCGGATGCCGGCATCCCTCAGCATCCGCAGAAACCGGCGTTCCTGCATCACAACACAGACACGGGAGATGAGACACCCCACTGCCTATCAGCTAGAAAACGAGCACATTTTGGAATGTGTTGCCTAGTCAGGAAATACTTGAAGTTTCTGTGCACAAAGCTCAGCTGACTGGAAAAGGTGGGAAATAGTATGAACTTTATCTTCTTTTTGCCCCTGCATGCATCCTTATCAAAAGAACCCCACACCAAAAACATACCTGAATTCTAAGGACCAAGCTGAAGGCAACACCTGCTTTTCCTGCACGAGCTGTTCTTCCAACCCTGGAAACAGAAAAAGTAGCTTCAAGTCAGTTTGAGCCCCATGGTCACTGCCATTATCAGCTCCAAGAGTCCGATTCTGAAACTCTTCACATTTAAGCAAGTCTGATTCCAAGTAATGCTATGGGTTTATTTTTTATTCAAAAGTTATTTGCATATTAAAGTAAAAAGAAAAAACTAAAAGTCCTTTAAAATGCATGTCACCTTTGCTAAACATTTCAAAGCAAACCAAGCTCAGGACATGTCCTTGTTGTGCCTGGCTGCCTTACCGGTGAATGTACGTCCTGATGAACTGTGGCGCATCGTAGTTTATTACATAATTCACTCCTTTAACGTCAATCCCTCGTGCAGTGGCATCTGTGCTGATCAACCTGGTTGTAAATGTATGTACAGTTATTTTCAGGCAACATCTCTGGCACCACACACACAAGTGAAACACAGCACAATTCTTGCTGATCTCTGTTCAAACTGGACAGCCAGCCTCTGTCTCTGTTTCCAGGTTCTCCAAGCATGGAACACTAAGCCAGACAGCTCCCAGCACAAACCTCTCAGGTATCTGAACATTCCATAAAGGTACTGAGTGCAGAGAGCAAGGTGAGAAATTTCAGCAGTCGAGATTTGGATAAAAAGGAAATCCAGAAAAATCAGTATTTACCTTCTTCTCAGAGACATTCCACAGATACAATCTCATACAGCTACCAAAACCACAATGTAAATCAAACACACGGATGGAAGTAAAGCTGCATGCCTGTCTGAGCAGGGATTGTTTCGGTAGGAAGCACTAACACCGTGCATAGTTCAAGCACCAACATCCATCTCCTTCCTACAAGACCAGATGCCCAGCACACACATTAAACATCAGATTTGCAAACCTGTGTGTTTTGGGCAACTCTGAACACACAGCTGCATTTACTGCTTGCCATGAAATAACACACAGACATTCAGATTGCAGTTAGATTAGAACAGGCCACATTACATGCAGGATAAACAATTCAAAGTCACAAGTCCAAGTCTCACACCCATTCTGCCACAGACTCCTGCACACTCTTTTAGAGGACCCTGTGTAGCTGTGTGCTTGGTTCTGCCTAGTTTTTCTCACTGGAAACAGCTTATGTTGGAAGACATGCAGAAAAGTCATTTAAGATGCTCACAGTTGTATTTTTCCTTGTTCAAACTCCTTTATGGTTCTCTGTCTCTCACTTGGAGGCAACCGAGAAGAAAACTCAGCCACTGTGACTCCACCAAAGGCTTGAACCAGCAGGAACAACCTGCAGGGAAAGGGGATAGAAACAGTCACTTCCCTCTGTAACAACACTTGATAGATACCTACGTTAGTGATCTCATTATCTGCTCACCTGTGAGAAGCTTCCCTGGAGTTGGTGAAGCACAACACGCGGGTGAATTTCATTGTCAGCATGAAATACAAGAGGAGCAAAGGCTTGGAATTCAGATCACAAGGCACGTAACATTGCTGCAGCCCACAGGGAAGAAGTTCAGAGAGAAAAATTACTTCTTGCCAAGACTATTTTCCTTGAAACCCACTACCTGTCCATGACTTACACAGGCTAGGATGTTTTAAAACTGACTAACAGCAGCAAAAACAGACCCCACAGTGCCACCCCCCTTTAGAAAAAGTCACAGTTACAGGCTGGCCGGATACAAAACAAGTGCAGACAGGAGACCTGAGTTGTTCTTACTTCTCCACAGCAAGTAACAACATGCACTGCCTTCCTGTCTACAGGTTGACTGTATCTGCATGCCTTGAAATGCACATTATAAATATGGACAATTGATAAGTGCTACTATGTTATTATTATTTCACATTTCAACTCCTTGTCGCTGGTAAAATTTAATTCCACATGAAGAGAGATTAATTAAAAAAAAAAAATCCAGTCTTAAACAAATGAACATTAAGTAATGAGAAAACAAACAAAGATAGAGCTCTCTGGGTTGTAAATACTCCCAAAGCCACTTTTGCCCAGCACCTCTGTAATGCAAGGAAACACAGACATTTTACATTAAAACCATAACCAGATACTCCAGAACTAAATAAATCTTCAAGAGTAACTTATTCAAGAGAATGAACACCCTACCGACAGCCCTTCAGGGAGTGTGTATTTATTATGAGCATCTTGTTCAGTTTCTGTTCCATCTTCCAGTGTTTTTTTCTCGGAATAGACAGATGTGAAGAGTCGAGGCTGGAATAAGTCCAGCTGCTGCAGTTTCTCTGGGTCCTGGGTCAGCGTGGCTGAAAACAGCAGTTTCTGTAAGGGTATCTGAGGAGAGCAGGAGCTGAAAGAAACAGCACATGAAAACCGGGCTTTGAGGATGGAGCAAAGGAGCTCCACCACAAGTGCCTTCAGATGATGATATAAAG